ATTTTGGAATTGCATAAAAATTAATAATTTTATTACAAATTTTTGAATCAATACAACATTAAAATGTCATACAATACAACATTGAATCATTACAACATTTGGATTTCCTGAGCATAGCTGAAATACATTTTTGAATCAATACAACATTAGAAAACTATCAACTCTGGAGCCCTATACCATCTTGTAGCAAACATTAGCATAATACCTTTGAGAAAAATGAACCACACAACTCTGGAGCCCTATACCGTCTTGATAATCATGTATTTGTACCATCATCCAAAAAACTATCAACTACCAACTCTTAGAAAATGGACGAATGACACTGAAGAATAAAAAAATAAAATATGAACAATTAGATTTCTGAAATACCGTCCAAAATATTGTCGTCGGAGTGTCACTGAAAGCTATCTCGGTGATAAACATTAGCTGCAGACAAAAACTTCATGGTTAGATACATTTACCAATTCATAAAGCACAATTCACCGGCACCCATTCACAGTGGTGCCTTACAAGTAAAAGATGGTGTAAGAAACTTTATATGCATTTGGTCTCTCAAAATATCACTATATAGAAAGAGAATATTGTCTAACTTCTTTAAACTTCTTTGTGGATCTATCGACTGCCAACTAACAAGATTCAAACATTTTAGATACAAGTTTAACCCCTAAATGTATCAGCTAACAAGTTAAAACTATTTCTCTTCAGACCATTTACGTATCACCTTACCTTTTTCCCCTCAATTGTCTCAGGGACATCGCCATTGGCAATTCTCAGAGCTAGGCCTTCTGCAATAGCTGTTTTCCCAACACTAGGTTCTCAAATGATGCAGGGATTATTCTTCGTGAAACGTCCCAAAATTTGAGTAACTCGTTCAATTTGGTCTTGCCTTCCTCAGCTAACTCGTTCAAAATTTGAGTAATTCGTTCTATTTTACCCTGGAAAAGGAAGAAAAACAGCTTTTATTAAGCCCCTACAAAAGTAAAAAATTTATTAACCCCATGAGAAATGGAAAATTACCTCAGCTAGCTTGGTTAAATTGATTCCATATTCCTCTAGTGTAGGCATCTTGTTTCCTGAGCTTCTCCCACCAACACCAGCACCAATAGCCTCCGCCCTCTCACCCACCATTCTAATAACCTGTGTGCCAAATGGATCATCATGCTGTCAGGGTAAAAAAATCATAAAAAAATTTTTTAGACAGCTTGCCTGTGTGCGAATATTGCTTGGATCCGCACCTAAGTTCTCAAGAACACGGGCTGCTACTCCTTCATCCTCACGAAGTAATCCCAGCAACAAGTGCTCTGGTCCAATGTAATTGTGACCTGAATCAACAAGCAATGGATTAACATCATATTAAGCCCCTGTTTGACACACATTAAAATTTTCATTCTCATTCTTCTACTCATTTTCAACCACACATTCTTCAATAAAATAATATTTTCCATCACATCAATAACTTTTCCTTCTTTTTCAACCACACATTCTCCATCATCTACTATTCCAAAATNCATTTTCTAATAAAATAATATTTTCCATCCCATCAATAAATTTTCCTTCTTTTTCAACCACACATTCTCCATCAATCTACTATTCTAAAATACATTCTTCCAAAATAATATCCATCAAACACACCCTAGATATCAAACTTAACTAATATAATTTTTTTCAAAATTTACCTAGTCTTCTTTAGGATAAAGATAAAATGTAAATGATCAGAGTATTTTTAACTTATTGCGTCAAAATTTCAGCCAAGATGGAGAAAGATAAAAGGTAGGTATAGATAAACTGAAGACTAAAATCCTATATGCAGAGCATTCATTATCCAATGACGAAAGAACTAAAACGTACTCCAGTAAGACAAGGGGTAAGTCTAACGGCATACAGGAAAATGCACAGTCAAAAGGAAAGTGTAAATCAAATACCAAGCTGGCGGGCTTCCTCTAGNNNTACCAAGCTGGCGGGCTTCCTCTAGTGAGAGTTCCAAAACACTCTTTGGACGAGGGGTACAAGGTATCTCCACAGCCACAAATCCATTACCCCTTCCAATTATTTTCTCAACCTCCACACAGGCGTCTTTCAAATTTATGCCCATGGACTTGAGTACTTTAGCAGCTATACCAGTTCCCTCACCAATAAGTCCCAACGAAATTTGTCCATTTCCAATAAAATTATGACCAAGCCGTCTTGCCTCCTCTTGTGCAAGCATAGTAACTTTAACCACTTTCTCTGTGAAGCGTGTAAACATGGCTCGTGGTGCGATACGACATTTTCTTCCTTTTCTAACAGAGGTGATAACTGCAACCTTTGATTGCAGTGTCTGGCCAGTTTGCTTCATCAAGTCTACGGCATTAGATGTTCGCAGTCCTGAGAAACTCCTCATTCTTAAGGGTGTTGTTTGTAAGTTACATCGCATTGTAACTGTTCTATTTGTGTTTTTCCTTCTCCTGAACTCTCCATTCCTTACACTGGTAACTGAAAAGGGTAAATTGGTTGACTGAACTAAAGCCCCAGCCATGTCTGCCTACTACATAAATAATAATAGCAATTAGACAGCTGGGATGAAACAATAAGGTCACAATACAATTAATAGCCAACATAATCCACTATTTTTTAAATTTCTACGAGCTTCTTTTATACAAAAGCACCACCAAAGACCAAGCAAGCCCCACTGGAAAGAGGAGAAAAAGATAACGCTTCAAGAAAAATGAATAAATCACGAAATTAATAGATGTTAGCAGTTAAATATACAAAAATCAACTTCCTTCCCGACTTTTTCTCTCCCTGAGAGTGTAAAGAAGATCCTGAATAAAAGTTTTGAAGGGTTGTGCCATATTGTTTTTATTTACAAAGGTCAAGATGAGGGATATATGTCTGTTTAGCCTTGCGAAGATCTCAATTATGGTTTTCTTCCGCCCCATTCATCAGCACAGAAAATGTCAGAATAGGATAAATTACTAGATGGATGACTTCAGTGGTTTTCGGGGACACGTTTTGCATAGATCTATAGAGGTTTTGAAGCTTCCTGGTCAAAAGAGTGACATGCTAATCTTGCAATTGTTTAGCAATAAATCGCTTGGAGTGGTAATAGAATTCATATGTTCGACTCCAAATTTAAGAGAAAATTGTACGAACTAAGGCATCCAGTGCAGTAAACCCAAGTTCTTCACCAGGACATTTTGGTTCCACGACAAGGCTGTATGAATATCGCCCCTAAAGATCTAACAAACTATGAAGCTAAAACCATTTCAACAATTAATCATATGTAGACAAGCCCATTCCAAGAATGAGTACCTGAAATTCTTGTACTTGCTTTTGTTGCTCAGCTTGCAATCTACCTATTGTACTTAGAAATTCCCCCAGAGTCGACTCTATACGCTCGTTTAGTGCTTCTGCCAGAGCCTTCCCAAGGAAGAATACATCTAGAACAGTTTTACTCTCATTCTCACCTGCAAAATGTTGAATAATTTCCTTTGTTTGCCAATGTACAGATTGGTAGAAACTATTGTTGGACTCGAAGCAAGCATATCACTAAAAAATTAACTTGATTCAGCAATCTTGTTTACTTTTTTCAGTGGATGTGGAAGAGAAAGATGGGGTTGTACTTACGAGCTTTGACTTGGATTTAGGGAAGAGGAAATAAGAGTAATTGGAAGTTTCACCCTTAACTGCCCCCTTCGTGATAGGGCTAACGTTCATAGGGCTAAATAACGGGCTTCTCTTTTCGCAACGTTTACGCAACGTTTAAAAAACGTTGCGAAAAATACTTTCTGCAAGGTTTTTTAAACGTTGAACGTTGCGAAAAGTCATTTTTTGCAATATTCATTTAAAAAATGTTTCCATAGACCCCTTTAGCAACATTCACTCGCCCAAACGTTACAATAGACCCCATTTACACTACACCAAAAAACACCATTTGCAACACATAAAATGCAACATTCAGTGATTAAATGTTGCTAAAAGGGTCTATCGCAACATTCTAATACGTGAATGTTGCCATTGCCTAACAAAATTGAGCTTTGGCAACATTTTTTAAGTGAATGTTGCTAATGTTGACTTTTTGCAACGTTTTTTCAATGTTGCGAATTTTTTTTATTTTTTGCAACGTTTTTTAAACGTTGCGGAAGACAAAACTTTTCGCAACGCAGTGTCTTTCGCAACGTTTTTTAAACGTTGCGAAATTTTTGTCTTCTGCAACGTTTAAAAAAGTTGCGAAAAATGCTTTTCGCAATTTTTTTTTTTTATTTTGCAACGTTTCAACAGACGTTGCGAAAAAGGCGTTTTTCGCAAACTTTCGCAACGTTTAAATTTTTTTTTTTTTCTGATTTTTGCAACGCTTCCACACCCCTTTAAATCAACCCTAACCCCTCGCTTTTCCTCCTCTCGTCTGCGCCTCTCCTCTCTTCTTCTCCCAAATCTCTATCTTCTTCAATTGGGAGCTTAGATTCGTGCAGATTTCCTCACTTGTGTTGTAGTCCTAGTTGATTGTATCTAATACTCTGGGGGGAACACAATTCGGCTACGA